AAGAGGAGGAGGAGGAGGAGGAGGAGGAGGAGGAGGAGGAGGAGGAAGTCCTGTGATGCTGAGAGGGGAGTTGGGAGTCTGAATCTGATTGGGCAAACAGTCCCTTCTCCCTCCTAGTACCCTGATAAAAGTGAGCAAAATCCTTTGCACAATAGAGCAAGCTAGTGTAAGTTAAACCACCATAAAGTTACACAGATGCAACCCAGATTCAACAACAAGGGGGCCTCCTGCTCTGGTTAAGCCTGGCAGAAATAAATCAAGCCTTTCAAAGAGTGTTTCAATCTGGATCTACACTGAGTATGACTAACATTGGTTACTGCCCACTGTATCCCAAATCGTATTCCATTAAAGATCTGCCAGGGGGGAAAAAACAAAATGAAAGATGTGTTCACAACTGTAAGATCACAAAATTCAGCGTGCCATAACAAAGCCTACAGTTCCATCTTTCAAAACATTATACAGCCATGATTTGTTTTAGGAAACCATTCAGATTTCTTTCTTATCATGGGGTTCGAATAATAATAAAAAAAGCTTTCTTTCTTAGCATGCTACACAAAAGGAGTCCAGTTTGTTACAAATTAATCATGCCATTTTCTCTTTCTTTAAATCATTTGTAATGTATTAGTTTAGCCATTGAAGCAAACTCTCTAGAGGTATTTCCAATTATTATTATTATTATTATTATTATTATTATTAATCATGAAAAACACACCCTTTTTTAATGCCTCCCTTTGTTAGATAACAGAAGCTAACTCGTGCATCTGCCTTAGAAATAAATAAATAAAAGGCAGATTTTTCAGCTAGATAAATACAGTTACGTGCAGTACAGATATTCCTTTACACACCTCAGCAGCCTCCTTAAAAGTATCTCATATGCTGATACATGTTATATTCAGTTCGGTTAACACACCAGATTCTGACAAACTGCAAAGCAACTGAAGACAGTGTACCAAAAGGTTGACAGCTTAGATTGCAGAGATTGCCTTAAATACTAGGTGGAGGCAATATCATTTTAACCTCAGACTGACCGAGCAACTGTATCAAGCAAAAGGACATAAAAAAAACTTTAATCAATAGAAAGATGTCATGATCACATAGAAAAAGAAAAATGATTGTAAGTCATAGTGATGGATTTTTTTCGCACAATAAGCTTCTCCTCCTGCACTGCGAGAGAATCACACAGAGCAAGGATGGAGGAGAAGCAGCAGCAGGAGGGAGGGAGGTGCCAAAACACCTTCCTTCTGAAACAACAATTGCCTTGAACAATAAGCACACCAGCTCAGGGAGAAAATCTTTGAGTGCAGTATGTTCACGATCAAGGACAACAATCTTTTCAGTAATTATCATAAACATAATTGTGCAAACCTAACACGTCCTTCAGGAAGCAGAATGAAAAGTACACAACTTTTCGTATTAGCCAACTCTAATCCTTCACAATCTGAATGCTCATCTTTGATGCAATGGAAACAGCTATGAACCAAAGGCTATATAATATACCAACAAACAAAACCTTTTCAGTTCTCTCATGGAGGAAAGTAAGAAGAATGTTAATTATACATTTCAAACTCCCTGCTGCTGCTGTAAAAGTGGTACCTGATCAAAACTTGCTGTTCAATTAGTTTTTAAACACACACATGGAGGCAATGCCCACTTTCACTGCCACCAGTGCCTGCTGTTACTATTTAATAAGTATTTAGCAATACTTGGGTTACCTTGGTAGCCTTACAGCTCTTCACTTGGAAATAGGTTCCATCAAGTGCTGAGACAGGCATAGGCTTCTCCGTGGCAGCCCCCAAGGTATTGAACTCTTTTTCCTCAGAAGCGCATTTGTCACCTTCATTATATCGCTTCCAGGGATGCACAACTCTACCCTGGCTGCTGACACATGAAGTGTATGTTTTTAGGACCCACCTCATATTTATGATTGTCAGTTATTTTAAGTTGTTTTGATATTGTGCTTTAATGCTGTAACCTCCCCTGCGATCTAAGAGTGAAGGGTGGGTAATATATTTTTGCTGCTGTTGTTGCTGATGTTGGATATTATGTATATGGGTTGGCTTAAGATTTCTGTCCTCATACAGGGGGAGGGGAAGGAAGGAAGGAAGGAAGGAAGGAAGGAAGGAAGGAAGGAAGGCCTAGTCTTGCTATGCCCTACCCAATGGGCTGAATTGATTTAAACGGGCACAGTGAGAGAATGGCAAACCATAAGTGTAATGCAAGTAACTGGAGTAAACTTAAGGCCTCAATAAGAAATAAAGGGTTGTCAGGGGTCGCAGAAGGATAGCGCAGAAAGGGCGACCACAGCTACCTTTATGTTTCAGAGTAGCAATGGATGAATTTGATTATTTCCTCTTCTCTGGTGGAAGCCATCTTTTTAAAGAAAAACACACACAAAAAGAGTTCTCCTTTCACAAACGTTTTCTCTCTATCCTCTTCAGAAATCACAGATTCATAAACTGTATTCATAAATTACAGGTAGGAACCTTAGAGTTAACAATTGCCCTCAAGAAGGAAGCTAATAGTACATATATAATTGTTAATAACTGTTATTATCAATCTTGTATTACATCTACTAAGAACAATGTCCTAGCTTTACATATTATACTGCTTGCAGGAGGCAAAAAAAACCACTCTGCTATATGTGAAGACATCTTTAGGTTTGGCCAAGTTGCCAATCAGTTTATTTTAATACTTAAAGAATGAGTGTATGTATGATGGAGATGGCAATTAGAAACCAGTTCCTAAGACCCTTGCTTATTTCAGTAATCCTCCTGAAAGAAGCATGGATTAATAAATTAAATGTGAGAAACACCTTAATTCATCTATAAGGAATAATAGCAAAAGGCAATGAGGAAGCATCCACAGAAGCTACACAGTATCTAAAACAAAGCAGACATCTACAGCATAAGAATACCAGGTCATTAATGCATGCATAGTACTAAGGTCTCATCCAGTGCTGGAATGAGCATATGACATAGGGACTTCTTTTCATTTGAAAGGACCAAGCTCATTCTTGTGAAAAGCTGCAAAGAAGGGATTCTGGATTACTGTCTGCTCACTTGGGGGTGATTTATACTCACCCCAGACAACCAGATGAGTGATTATTTTGCAAGCCTGTGGCTGCGATAGTAAATATAATCTTCCTTATTTTCAACAAAAAGAAGAATTGGACAAGTTCAGTTGTGAATATAATTGGACAAACTGGATATGCCTTTCTCAATCTAGGCTTTCAAGTTCAGAGTTGATGGATACTGTTCTGGTTGCAGTTGACATCTTCTTGATGAAGATCCTTTTATTTGAAACAGATACTTGCTTTTAAAAAAAACCCTGTCTTGTCAAGCCTCTTTTCCCCTCTTACTCTCATTGCAATGTCTCAAACTTGGCTGGGAGGCTTATTGAGAATTTACTTTCTACACTGCCCTGGGCAGCCTTTCTTGTTCTCTTCTATTTCTCTATTGCTTCTTTTAATTACTGTTGCTCCTGAAACCAACTGTTTCTCCCGTGTAAAACAAATATACTCAATTTTCTGGCTGCACTGATTGACAAAGCTGTTAGAGGTAAATGGAAGAGAAGGTTACAGGTGGTTGTTTTTTTTTTAAAAGTAATTAAAAAGTTCTGAAAATAATGCACAGCATCTGGGACCTATTTGAGTTTTGACAATTCATTTATACAGAATGATAGTACCCATGTGTTCTCAATACAGGAATAAACATACGCTGACAGCGATAAGCTGAGAATAACTTCAAAAAACGGTTACCAAATGATGTTTAAACATTACTGATATTAGATTATTCTGACACTCTCAACCTAGGTACATTTATTTTGATATATTCAAAATGCATGTTTGTAATGTACCTCTTAACACCTGAGACTTAGTTTTCAGGTCACACCCAATTATTGTGCCTATAATCTGAATTTTAAATTGGCATAACCTGTCCTGGATCTGATGTGAAGGGAAAGTAATAAATTTACTACCACTACTTCTTCTAAATCTTCTAAATTCTTCTAAAGTTATAAAGTTCCTTTCATATACTAAAGAAAATCTCAAGCTATTAACAAACCTCATTTATGAGCAAGATGATTTGTCTCTAACAGAGTAATCACAAGTGGGGCCATGGAGTAGTAAAGCAAGGGATCCACTGCTGCACTCCAAACCTTGCAGGCCTGACCCTTCCAGGGCAGAAAGTTGTTTCTTTCTTTTTGCTATGCTAGCTCCATACTGGCCTTGGATCCCCACCGTCAAAGCAGCCAGTTCCAAAACTGAGCAGGAGCATATGTTCATGAAGGGGGACAAACTCAGACTCCCTTTTGCAAACAACCTTCAGAAGAATTCATGTCAGTAACGTATTTAAATAAAGTGGGAAATGGTGTAGGCAGACAGGAAGACATTGTGAGTGTGGTCAGAAAGGGTTTCTGTGGTGGTGGTGGTGGGAGTGGCAATGCTGGGCAACTGGCTGGTGTTTTGCTGCCACTGAGCAGGAGGCAAAGGAGGCAGCGGGGAAATTTCTGTGCTGGGTGCACTGGCAGAATCAATCTGGCATGCCCACCAGTGTGCTGGCAGCACCACAATCCATCTCCTACTTTGCCACCCTCCTCCTTAGTAAGTGGGGGAGGCACACCAGCTGGATGAGGGCAGAAGGCATAGCCTCCTGTTTTCCACCCCATTTCTGCCAGTCAATCAATATGTTTAGAATCAACTATGAAAATGGCTGTTGTCTCCGATGGTTGGATTGAAAGGAATTGCAGATAAATTCCAAGTGTGGCAATAGGTTGGATCATCCAAAGTAGATGCTGAAACAGTAATATGGGGGCCTATTTATTTCCCGATATAGTCAATATCAGGAACAAAGTTGTCCCTCCCCTGACAAATATCCTTACACAGCTTAAGCAACCAGTGGTGACTTCACTCTGAAAATTAATCTACTAAGGAAAATGTAGCAAAGCATGCAATATATAAAAAAAGCTTTTGTGCTGATTTGTTTCTTGTTTCCCATCAACAGTTCACACAGCTGAGCCATGGCAAACAGCACAGCAGCAGGCATGCCCAGGAACTGGATATTGCACAAGGCACAAACCATGCAAAGACAGACAACCCTGCCTCGTTCCCGATGGAAGGTTTTGCCCATGTAGCACCTTCCAGCTTTTCTTCTTCTTGGTGGTACAATCACAGTTCTCATCTGGCTGCTGATCAACTAGTTAATTTTGATAATGGCATAAAGTTGCTGCAGTATATTGCAGTCTCTCAGATCCTTTTGCCATGATAAGAATGTTGCCCATAACAGCAAAGGACACAAAATGTGCTTTGCTGTTTACTGTATTCGGTAATGACTTGAAAATGTGGGCTATTGCTCTATTGAATTGCTACTTTTTCAGCTGGAAAGCAAACAGTTATTTACTTTAAGCTCAGGCTTATAATAGTTTTGTTTTGCTGTGTCTATAGTAGTGGTCAAGATTTTCATTTAATGTGTGAATTAATTCTGTCCTGTTGTGTTCAGAACATCTTAACAACAACTTCTTCTGTTTCAGCCTCTCTGCACTTTGCTTCCAATGTTTGCAGAAAAGGTCTTTGGGGAGTTGAGCTTCCTCTGCCCAGTGCTTTTTCTTGTCTGAAGTGAAGACAATTATTCTGCCCCTGAGGACTGGTTTAAGGGTTTCTTGGAGCATTTCTAGTGCTACCTCTCCATTGTTATTAATTTGCAGGAACTCGTTTTATTCCCATTTGTTTGACACCTTTGAAAGGTGACTGTCCCAGAAGAAACTTGTGAAGTTGCCACAAGCTAGCTGTTGGTCTCAGGGCAGCTTTCAATGGTAGGAAAGAAACAGAACCAAAATACAGGAATAATTTCATACTTTTTCAACTTTCAATGCACAACATCACGGGGATGTACAGGAACACACATACACAAGAATTAGCTTGGAATTAATTGTTAGAGTGTAGGAATAGCAGCTATGGACAATAATGGCAGCCCAGGGCATAAGAAGAGAGGCCACAATTGTAGATAACCAAACAGCAACAAGAATAGCTGGAATAAGTGAGTTAACTATGCCCTCCCTCTTTGAATTTAGACTGACCAATCTTTTGGACTTATTAAGCTCATGAAAGGAATGAATACCACATGCATTTCCTACACCACAGTCTCCCAATGGTTCTTCCATATGGTATGTTCAGAAAGGACATCTAGCCATTCACTTCAAGTTAGGGATGGGAGCCATTCAAAAGCCATTCACTTCAAGTTAGGGATGGGAGAATCAGTCAATTCCATTTTCTCTCAGTTTCTCATTTTTCCAGTCTTAAATTCAGCACTCCACATCAGAGCAAAACATTTGGCACCTTGGCTGCAGGAGTTGCCTTTTGGAGGCATACAAGACGCCATTCATTCGTTTAAGGGACTCCACTCCGGATTTGTGTTTACTCCTTAGCCCTCTCTTCTCCTGAAGGTCTCTCGCAAGGCAGTGGAAGTTTAGGATCAGAGTTTTTATTCTCATCAATGGGCTACCTACCTGAGTTGACAAGCCCCATCTGCCCCTCACTTCCTTCTACAGCATGTGCAGAAACCACTTTATTGACTGTTGGACCCACTACTGGTCTCATGCATTCAAAGTGCTGGAGCTTGTCTTTGCATGCAGGGGAAGCCACTAACTCATCAAGGCTTTGAGACCCATCAGCTACCTTCACCTGGTTTAGCCAGCCAGTTGAAGCCATTTCCCAGGGTGCGGCTGCTGTCACATGGTGTCAGCTTCTAGGAGCCGCAGGTGAGAGATGAGTGCATGGTGGAGACCTAATATGGACAGACTACCCCAGAAGGAGCATGATGGTCAGTGGAAGCACACTCTTCATGAGGTATCCTAAGCCACACTTCAGGGCAACAGATGTAACAGATGGAGTAGGTACACGGTATATGAACAGCCAAGGCACAATCCTGTGGCAATTTCTCTAGAGGGGAATGGAGCTCTTGGAATAGCTCAGTAATCTCCTCTGCCTTCAAAATCAGCGATGTAAGTGAATGTACTTTATCCTCCTAAATAAGAGGCTGCTATTGTTGAAGGAAGTATGTCACACATGCTTCTCACAATAATTGGCACTTTTATAGATCCATTGCTTTAAGTCTCTTTATTCAAAATAAAAAGAACACACAACAGCAATAGCTAACGAGCATACAATTATGCACATTATGGCTCTTAAACTGGCTAGTTGATATATAATTAGACTACAGCAAATATATGTCGGCAATAAACAAGAGCGAGCCACAGTTTGGCAACAGATCTTCTTGATAGTATATTGTGGGAGGGGAAAGGACAATGATTTAAAGACATTTGTTATTTCCTGAATTGAACAACTGTAAATCTCTTGAGAGAATTAAGAACAGAGCAGCATAGACCATTCCTTAGTTATGCTCTTCAAAGAATTATGCAAAACCAGTCCATTCAAACTGCTTTCTGCTATTAGGATTATTTCATCAAATGGCAGATCAGGGACCAAAAACCACTATGATTCAGATACAGCAGGCCTGTACAACTGCTGGCCCCTGAAGCCCAACACAGATTGGCCACCAGGAAGCAGTAGACAGCTTGATGGGGCAGCAGCATTCATTTGACCTCCTGGCAGCTGAGACACTGCTACTTACCAGGAAGGAGAGGGAAGAGGCAGCAGGGGATTGGCCACAACTGCAATCAGGCATGTAAAGTGGCTTTCTTCTTTTGCCCCCTGCCCCCATTTACAGTTGCAGATAAACAGCAAGCGAATGCTCAGGAGGTTATTGAACTCCCAGTAGGCCAGCATTCATGACTGGTGATTGCACTGAATTTTGTGGTTTATAAAATCTAGTTCAGAAATGAACAGAAGGTAGATCGGGATCTACTGGTAGATCACTGGCTGATTTGCAGAACACCCAAATTTCTGGATCCAATTATTCAGCAAGGACAAAGTAACTAATTTTCATTTAAATCTGGCTAGTGAAGTGAGGAAAGCTAACTAGAAGTGGACTTTCCTGTGGCTCTGAATGTGCTCAGAGGCACCCTGTTCTTTCATGCTACCTGCATGTCTTTTGCACCTGGCAGTGGTTGCTAGATCTTGGGGTTCTAGCAGAAGTGGCTCATCAGGTGGTACAGAGCCACTATTTTAGCTTCCTGGCAGGTGGGGTGCTGTTGTTTACTGGGAGGGAAAGAGGAGAGCAAGCAGGGAGTTTGGCACACTGCAGTCGCAACTCAGGATTGCAGAATTGGCTCTGTCAGTGCATTTGCACCTTGCCTCTCTCGTCCGGTAAGCAACAGCAGTCCATTTGCTGAGAACCTAGTGTATGGCCCTACCCCACCTGTCTAGCCAATTCTGGGTTATATTTTAAAAAAGAATGTAGGTTTTTTTTGGCTTTCATTTTCTGTTCTCTAGTTCATAATACACTACTTTTCAGGTGATCCACGAAACATTCTAGGCAATTCATTTATTAATTTGAGTAATTTATAGTCTTTCTTCATTTTTTACAACTTTGAGGGTAGTTTCCCGTAATCTTAAGAACAATATAAAAATTGAAAGGATAACAAACCCCAAATATCAATATAAAAATTAAAAAGAGCAAGAATCAGAAGCACATGTTAACCCTGTAAACCCTGTTGTGTCAATAAGAAATCAGCAGCAGCATTAGTATCAGTGTTAAAAATAATAATAAATAGTCTGCATGTGCCACAACAGCTGATCATAAAATTATTGGTTGTGTTACACCAATGGAGGACATTGAACTCGGGCTCACTAGGACTTGGCTCTAGAAGTTAATGTTCTCAGTCTCATGACCTTTTCTTTTTCCCCAATGAAAGCTTTGTACTGAAAGATGTGTGGAAATAATAAAGAACAGTGTATTTAAAGTGCATTTCCCTCAAAGCTCTTTAATGGCCCCTTGTCTACATTTGAACTAATGAGGAAGAAATCCCAGGCCACAGAGTATAAGTACTTGACAGGCATGAGTCTTAGCACATTTTTCCACAAAAACTAATTATTATAATTTGAAATAGGTCATCCTAGGGGGGTTCACTTTACACCCCTTAATGTTGAGAGACCAGCAAGTCTGCACCAATCTGCCCCACCTCAAACAATGTACACACTCCATTTGCCCCACCCTGATTCTGACACTTGTGCCTGCCACACCCCTTGGAGTCTTTGTGTCAGTGCAGAAGAGTTCTATACAAATTTAGATTTATGCACACTGGAACAAGTAGGAACACAGCTCAGTGATCTGGGCATTATCTTCACATACATCAGAATCTTCTCAATTGTGGGGCTGGAGTGGGACTTATTGAAGAATGAGGGGAAAAACAATTATTTTGCCAAGGAAAAGCTTCACGATTCACTCTCTCTTTCTCACACAAGTGCACACTTCAAAACTAGAACACCATCAAATCCCCAGTTTGCCAGAATTTATACGCTCTGTGATATAACAACTGTATCCAGTTGCAAAGCAGCCTAACAAATCTGTCCAGCATCCATTAATTAGCTGGAGGCAAGCAGACAGGCTGCTAAATAGCCAGCCACAGCAGACATAAGTGATGTTCAGTTTAACTTAATATATATATTATTGCAGTCAATACCAAAGAAATAAGCCAAAAGAATGCATGATGATCAGATCAGCTGACAACAACTGGGAGAGTGAACTCAGGGAGGGCTGGTACAATCATTACTCTGAGTTAGGCAACCATCTCAGGTGGTGGGTGGTGAGAGAGAAGAAGCACAGTGAGAGTTTGGAGGATAGAGCTCTGCACCCCACTTTGCTTGCCCTGCACCTCCTAAGCAGAGCTGTGTGCATCACATTGCCTGCTCTGGGCCTCCTATTGTCCTCAGGTGTGGTAGAAGATGCTGACTTATCATCAGGGTATGATTCAGCTGCCAGTCTGTCTGCTTCTGTATGCTGTTGAATATGAGAGGAGAAGTAGCAGTTGGTGCCTATACATTTTGCTAAAGGAGAATATAATTTTCAGGTGAGGTAGATGGTTAGGCTACAGTTTGTTAGACAATAAAAGGAGAAGGTTATCAGTGAGGGTGAGTAGAGCAATTTTCTTGGCTCTTCCCTCTTCCCTTTTGGAAGGCAAGGAGCACCATTTAGTTCACCTCTGTTGCCTAAATATATTGGGCCGGTCCTGGGTACTGGATTTCAGCCTTGGGAGGAAGCCCTACTGAATTCACTGAGATTAATTTCCAAGTTAGACATGCATGGGCCTGTGCTGTGAGACTGCAATCCTATGCACACTATTCTGAGAATAAATCCTATTGAAAGCAGTGAGGTTTCTGAATGAGCTTGCATAGAACTATGTTGCAAGCATTTTTTCTACTGAGTTATGGTGTGTCAATGTCAGAATGCTATTGATATTGTTGTTTCTCTCTTCCACAGACAAAAGACAGACAAATGCAATGGAGAATAATAAGAAGAAATGTTCCCCCCCAAACATTACAAGAGAAAGCAGGAAAAGAAAGAATTGTGGCCTTCATAACTCACCATTCTCCTGATTGAGTATGATAATGTAAAAGTATAGGTGTTGTTACAGAACAACAGTCTAGCAAAGCAAAACAAACAGCTTGAAGTCATCACCTAGTATTTCATGATCACAGTTCTAATATCACCTGCTATCATGATTCAAACAGAAAAGAAAATTCTTCCACAGTTCATGGAGCCTATGGTTCAAGCCAAGACAGCTTCCATGTGGCTCGCCACACAATAAATTCGATCAGTCAAGAAGTTTAACCAGTCAAGCAAAAGAACTGTCACAGCAAGCAAGATGCTCTTTCAGGGAAAAAAAAATCTGGCGCAGCGCGTTCTTAAGCAGCAGGCCGGCCAGACTTCTGCGTCAATCGCGCTGATTTCACAGCAGTTCCTTGGCTTTAGAAAACTTAGCCCTACAGAATGTTCCACATGTTGTTCTTCCATTCATCTTTTCAAGCAATAATATGTTTTTTTCAACCTCATGAAAACAGTCAATCTGTCAACAAAGATCCTGGAAGATAACCTCTGCCTACCTGTTAATAGGCAGGCAACTGAGCTGTCACAAGCTGAGAGATCTGTGAGAATTGCAAGCAATCCAGCCCTAATGTGAGTTTAACCAGCTTGCACTACTCATCTTATTGCAGGCCTAATGCCTCAATTTCAGCATTTTGATTGCAATTAATTACAAGGGCTTGGATTCAGATTTTCCTTATGTGAACAAAGTGAATGTCCCATTCATGAAACTGGGTTTTTCCTCTAAAGCCATGAAATCCTGCTCCTACAGACTGTAAAACCCTTGGGAATGCTGTGTTGGTGGCAGGTAGAAGGGGAGTTGACAGAAGTTTCTCTTCCTTGTGTAAATACAGGAGCATTTTAATATCCAAGTTAATGGATATCAAATTGATTTGCTGCTTTTATGTCTGTGTGGCAGAAGACTGGCTCAGCAGCTCCTCTTCATATGGAAGCCTAGGGAAGCTGCATATGTCCCAAGTGCAGGGCATGGGTCTGTGTCACAAATATACAGCACTCTTTACAAAAGTGAATCCAGACAGCTTGACAACGCATGAGGAGGTTTGTGTAACAGTCCCAGTTCAACTCGTGAACCCCAACATTTTATTAATGCTCTTTCCAAAGCAACTTTGTGGGCATTTTTTCCGAGTCATCCAGATCAGCTGCACTTTCATTTAAACTCCCATTATGTGGGCAATTATTTGCTAGATAACTCTTATCTGGAATGGCCTTGTAATGATTCCTGCCAAACCCCCTGCCTGACCAGCAGATGATTAAAACCATGTGGAAGTCCTGACTCACGAAGAGCATTGCATGGTTGCCCAGGCAACAGGTTGCCTCCTCCAACCCTGTGCAAAGGATGGGGAAGAAATTCAGGTCCATTCACATTTTAATATGAACCTACCTAAGTCACACTTCCTGAAACAATACGTGAACCAAAATGCAGCTATCCTTTGAAATTCAAGCTTCTTCAAATTTTGTGATGATTTTTTCCCAACCAAAAAATGTTTCCAAAATACATATATTAGGGAAAGTAACGTAAAAAAAGCACCTTATTAGGAAAATTGCTTGCAAAAGTATGTCAAACCTGCATACAAAATATGTGTATTAGGAGTAACGAACAATTAAAATGGTTATATATGAAGACTTATTTAGAAAATGCAAACTGATGCAGAAATGTAGCAAACTGAAGGTAAGTTTGGGGAAAAGAGAAAGTGAGAGAAACTAGAATTGATAGATTCATCCGTCCTGACTCTAAACTAGAGTTTCCAAGCAATAAGGGTTCCAAGTGTTCAATAAACATTGTGTTATATGGTGCTTATAAAGGCGTCCCCACAACTGCAGTTTTGTCATTGTGTATCATTGAATTTTTTTGTTACCTACCCTGAGATGTTCTGAAATGCTCTGGATGTTTTTGTTTGTTAAAGCAGAGCAACAAAGGATTTTTAAAAAGCTTAAATGAAGCTTTCAACTTAAAAAGCAAAAAAAATATATACTCTGATGCTGAGCCTTAACAAAAAACATTCCAAAGCTCTTCAGTGCTCTGCAGGCAACATTTTGGACAGCCTCACTTCTTGCAAAGCCCATGAGAAATGGAATATATGAAAGCATGCAGTTATTCTCTCTCTCTCTCTCTCTCTCTCTCTCTCTCTCTCTCTGTGTGTGTGTGTGTGTGTGTGTGTACACACACACACACACACACACACACATACACATACACACACACACACACAGAGAGAGACTAAGTGCTTTGTGGGTTTATGGTGTCCCTGATCTGACTTGTGGGGTACTGACATCTTGCTTTCATTTCAGAGAGGAGAAAGACCTCTAAATCATCTCATTCCACCTTGGTTTTGCTTCCCACAAAGAGACCCAACACAACCCCTAGTAGATATTGCTATCATGGCTGATGCTGATGAAAGACCTATCATCCACATTTTTTTTTTTATAATCCTCTTTAATAAAAAACAAAAACAAAGCTAGTGATCACGACCACTTTCTCTGGTACTATAATGAAAACCCAAAATCAATTGGTATTTATAAACATCTAGCCTTTCTCTGACTGGTAGCAGCTCCCAAGGTCCCACAAAGAGAGTGGTTTTTTCTAGCTTTGCTCTCTGATCCTTCTTTTAATTGGAGGTGTCCAGGATTGAACCCTGGGATTGTATGCATGCAAAGCATATACTCTAACACTGAATTATGAGACTTCACTCATTATTTACTGAACCTATTTATTGTTTAAGGCTTCCACATTCTGCCTTGTTCACTTATGGCAGATTGAGAAAATTTCAAAACGTAGGTATGCATAGATAGGGCTGCAAGTATATTTCAGTTCCAGGATTGCACAAGTGTAGAAAGCACAACTGAAGATCCTGAAATAGCTCAATTGTCATTCATAAAAATATATATGAAATCTATAGAGTATATAGATTTGAATATTTGATACAATGCTTATTGAGATTCCTGGTTGGGAATTGTGAGAATGAGCTGGATATCCACTGGTGGAAAGGGTTTTGTTCTCCCCCCATGACATACCACTGTACCACTGTCCATCATTTTACCCAGACACTGCTGTCCAGTGCCAAGGGCCTTCTGGCAGTTCCCTCACTGCCAGAAGCCAAGTTACAGGGAACCAGGCAGAGGGCCTTCTCAGTAGTGGCACCTGCTCTGTGGAACGCCCTCCCACCAGATGTCAAAGAGAACAACTACTATCAGACTTTTAGAAGACATCTGAAGGCAGCCCTGTTTGTTTAGGGAAGCTTTTAATGTTTGATGCATTACAGTGGTACCTCGGGTTAAGTACTTAATTCGTTCCGGAGGTCCGTTCTTAACCTGAAACTGTTCTTAACCTGAAGCACCACTTTAGCTAATGGGGCCTCCCGCTGCTGCTGCGCCGCCGGAGCATGATTTCTGTTCTTATCCTGAAGCAAAGTTCTTAACCTGAAGCACTATTTCTGGGTTAGTGGAGTCTGTAATCTGAAGCGTATGTAACCCGAGGTACCACTGTACTGTATTTTAATATTTTGTTGGAAGCCGCCCAAGTGGCTGGGGAAGCCCAGCCAGATGGGCGGGGTATAAATAATAAATTATTATTATTATTATTATTATTATTATTATTACAGGAGCAATGTGAAGTGTATATGCAAAATAACCAGATATGCCAATGTACTAATTTTGCATTCTCAACACATCAGTTAAACAGAACTCAGATGCTGTGGTTCAGAACTTTAGTTAACATTGCAGAGTATAGTTTGGTTTGGGATACAAAATAGATGATTGCAAAGTACATAGCTCTCAGCATTTTGCACTTCACATAGCCAGGTATGCAAAGCCTGTGGGAACGTCTTTTTTTTTTTTTTTTTTAAGGGGATGTAGGAGGTAATGTATGAATCAGTCCCAAGACCGAGGCTGAGGTTGAAAAACTGGCAGGAGTCTATTACTGGACATTAAAAAGTTAGCTTTCTAAGATTTACTGTTGCATAGGAGTACAGCACTGTAATAAAAATACGGTTGCTAATTAATCATTGCATGACTCAATGGTCCGCTGCTCCTGTGCCTTGCCATTTCTTAACAACATGACTTGATCTCTTTGGGCCTCGTTACTCAAGGATAAGTCATTGAAGTGAATAAAAATGTTGTATAACCAAGGCCAGCTGGGTAATGTAACTAGCTGTATGATTTTGTTCAGGAAAAAACTAAGAGGCTGTATCCATGAAATTATAACACAGGCCTTATTAGCCACTGTATATAGTGATTGTGGATTCAGGTGTCTGAAATCTAAATGTGTTTTCCTCTGTGTGTTCCTTACCTTTCAAATAAAAGCTGCAGGATCTATTCATCTCGCTTTTGTCACATTATCTATTAAAGTTTTAACACTGGCCTTATTAAAAATGTCACTCTGACCCATTAGAATATCCAAAGCAGTCAAAGTCTGTGTTGTAGCAGTGTTTCTGCCAAAGTTGATCATTTTTCTCAACTCCCGCACACATTAATGTACCAAATATGTTAAAAGGCAAAGTTTGGAGCTACAGTAACTAAACCACTTTCTCCCATTACAGCTTTGTTCTGAGCAGGCCTTCAGCCCTTTGACTGAAGTCCCTTTTCTCCCTTACGCCAATATGGGGTACCCCATGGATCCAAATGATCCAGGTTTTTTTATGTTCGCCTTGTGACTCAAGTCAGCTTTGTATATAGTTGAGAAACAGATCTTTATAATTCCTCATGCAAATGGACCATGCAGAAGAGGTAGAAGATGGAAGTTCTCAAAGTCCCTTTCATGTAATGCTCAGATGTGGCACTTGCGGCCTTCAGATGTTGTTCAACTTCAACCTTTATCCGCCCCAGTCAGAATAGACAGTAGTCAAAGATCGTGGGAGGTATAGTCCAAGAACATCAAGGGCCACAATTTCTCCATACTTGTGGGATGAAGAGGTGACATGAGTCCCTTCCCCAAGTTCAGTTGGGGGGGGGGAGTACTGCTAACATGTTGCTGCTGTTGTTTCCAGGGTCTGAATTCCAGAGATTGTCAGAGAGGAAGTAATAAGGTGCTTTGTTTCCTGAAATGCTAAGTCACATTTAAATTTAACACGAGTAGGCTACTGAGACTTTAGCCAAGCAATTTTTCACCTCTCTAGCCTCAAAATTTAATTTTCCACCTCCTGCACTATAACTTCTTTGCTTATTTTTTAAATTTGCATATTGCTCTATATCCATAGATCTCAGGACAGTTCATAGCATAAAAATCTTACAAAGTCATAGGATATGTGACTTGAGGGAGCTGGAACTGGTTAATGGGCATGGCAAGTTCTTTCACTACTGATTATCTGTTGAGAGTGTCTTAACAGATGATTGCCAGCTGTTTTGAATGCTATAGATCACTGAGCACCTTAGTTTTTTATCATGCTTTTGATATGTTGATACAATTTTGTTTTTTGTTATCTTTGCTGTGTTAAATGTGCATTCTGTACTTGACTTCCTTTTTAATGTTTTATTTTATGCTAATATTTTAGTTTCCTGTTAATTATAATGCTTTGGAAAGTATACCTTATCTTTGACTTTCTTCTGTAATGTTTTATTCTGGATTGTTTTATTTGATATTTTAATGTAAACTGCTTTGAGATTTTTTTTCCTTAAAAAAATTAAGTGGTATAGAAATGAAATGAATAAAATTAAAATTAAAATAATACTGTATTAAAAATGCCGTGTCCTCCTAGCCAAAAAATGATCCTAAAAACTATGCCATTGGCTCAGTATTCTTTTTTGCTTTGCTCTGTCAGATCAAGATGTCATTCTTATTATGGACAAGTAGAGATATGAAAACAATCTTAATATAAATGTTAGCTTTCAACCAAGTATCAAAATAACATCACGTAATCTGTTTTGCCTTCTGTTGCCTCATTTACACTTTACAGGGTGTTAAAAGCTGGAGAGGTACAGAATTAGCAGTGGGTGCTAGTAAAGGTATACTCATTTCTGGTGTCATTAAATGTCCTCTATTCTTTTCAATTATGCATTGGGATACAATTTTCACTGGAACTGATCCGCCACAGATGCTGGATTTCAGTACACCTATTACTGCTCTTACTATATTTATCCACTAAGTGGGAAGGCTAATGTTTTCCAGATGTGGCTGCCATTTTATAAGTCAGAAATAGATATTACATCTGTCTGCTGTCTTTTCCTTGCATAACATGGGCTCAAAATATCTATTAGCTTAGGTATTCTGTTACAGTTTCACATATTTAACCACAGCTGGCCCAAGACATTTTGCTGCCTAAGGAAAAAGGCAAAGCATAAGGCAATCAGATTGGCAGCTAAATATTGCTTAAATACTGGCAACGGGACAGGTTCCTCTGCCACACCAGGTGGGAGAAGACTAGTTTAGGGATCGCTAGCTTTGGGGTCTCAAGGACATTGGTGTGGAGGCGAATTACTACAGCTGCTCTGTCATCCAGTATCTTCTGCCTGAAACTGTCACCTCAATCTGCAAAGGGCCTAGGAAGGTCTAGGAAGTCTAGGAAGAAGCCACTGCTGGCACAGGTTTATTGATAAGAATCCAAACTTTATGTAATCAAATCTGGACACCCCACCCCCCATTTGAACTTTCTATGTTTATGCTTTCTGGTCAGTCTTGGTAGCCAATAGTTATTTTCTGCTCTTCAGATGTGAAGTCAACTCCTGCAATGTTACTCCAGCAGTGTTATGTGCATCTTCAAAGCCAATATTGGTTTGATCAGACTGAACAATGTTATTGTGCATTAATGAACATATGACATATTTTAAAACATTTCATTCCCCCCCCACACACACTTTCCAACTTTTAAGAACCATCTCTTTCTCCCAGGCATAAATTTGAAGTTTTCATTAAAATAGCAAAGATTGACCAACTGTACAAACAGGAATATATAACATTTAGTCACTTCTTGATTATTTTTAGGTAAAGAGGAACAAGAGTCAAAATCCTACCCCTCTCACATCATGAAGGTTCATGGAGAAAAGTGAATTTCATTTACTTCTTTCAGAAATACCACTGGATTTAGTTACCTTTAATTTGGAAACCAAAATACATATAGAAACAGCTCAGAATTTTAATAATATACCCATTGTGATACAAGGTTTATTATGGCATACCCCTAATATATATCAAAGTAACAAAATGGAAGATCTCCATATGAAATTCCTTATGATCATTGAATCCTGGATGATTTGGAAGTGGGCAGGGAATCTATATGTATTTCTGAAAA